AAATAAAATGCATTTAGAATAAAATATAAAAATAATAATTATTTTATATATTTTATTATATTACTTTAAAATTACTTTTGAACATAGTTTGATAGAAGAATTGTAAATGAAGTTCTATACATTCGTGGAGGTATAGAAATTATTCAAACTTTCGTCAAGAACAATTTGTTCGTAAATCAAAAATAACGTTAATATTAAATGTAATAAAGTTTAGAGTGGTATAACCGTGGTCTATAGAACACAGAATGGATAATTTGTGAGAAACAGAAACGTATGTAAATTGAATTTTTTTTTATTATTATACTGATAAAGTAAAAAACTGATCTTATCATACCCATGACCCTGTCTTTGATGTTTTTAATATAAAATATGATGTGGGTAGTAACTGATTGATTGATTAGGATCGTAAGGATCGTGCAATTTGCTGCAATGAAAAAATTATTCACTTATGATTCAATTTGAATATTTAAATAAACAAAAAAAAATGAATGTTTTTCATATTATAAAATAATAAAATAAATATGTATCTTAATGCATATAAATTCTTCAATTAATTATTGCATTAGAAGACGAACATTTGCATTGCGTCGTCTTGGTTACACTCGAACTCGTCAAGTTCACAACAAACCTTAAGGTGTTCTGAAGAATAAATGTTATGCGAGGAAAATGAATTATGAGAAAAGATGATCTATAAAAAAAAAAAAAAAAAAACAGGAAGAACAAATCATAAAAATTAAAGAATGAATAAACAAAGAAAAAAATATTTTAATAAAAATCTTTAACACTTTAATGGCCGCTCACACAACATGTTGTGTGATAGCTGGAGTAAGCATTATTTGTTGTTATTTATTTTTATAACTTTATATATTGAAAATTATATACAAAATTAAATTTGTGTTGTTAAATTGTTATGTTTTGTTTCATGTTAATTTTGTCATGAATTAAATAAAGTTTGTTTCAAATGAATTCTTCACAAAGTTGACTGTGCGTAAACGTGCGGCCATTAAAGTGTTGATCAATAGTTTTGATCAGTGTATTAAAAAATATATGCTTGAAGTATATATAAATATTTTATTAGATATAAATAATAATTGGTATTTAAAATGAGAGTAGAGAATTGTTTTAAAAGTTATAATACAGGGTGGTATAGATTCTTATGCTATTTCATTTTTAAACTCATGAATACTGGCCTATTTGTTTAAAATATTAATCGATAAAGATTCGTAAAACATTGAACTTATAAATAACAGCTATAAATAAATAAATAAAAATGTATATAGATATATTAAATTTAACAAAAATTCCGCGTTGATATTTTTTTCTAAATTAATGATAAATATAATACATTAAAAAAATGTTATTTATGTATGATGTTATTTAAATATTGTACCTTATTTTTTTATTATTGTAATAAATAGATATAGAGTGAAACGATGAAACGATGAAAACCGAATCGATTTTCCTTTATCGACGTTGTACCGAAGCGCAGACATTCGGCGCAAGAGAAGAGAGAGGATTCGAGGAAAATACGATGAAATCAAATGAAAAAAGGGAGTATATAGGGCCACTTTCAAAGGGACCGCCCAACCAATCGTATAATTCGCAAAAAT